TATGGTAAAATATACCCCAAAACCCTATCCTAATTACTAAGGCCCCTGTACTAGTTTGGGGTGCCTGGTCAGCGAAACCACCCTTAGCGACTCCATGGCCTTCGCAGCCGAGCAGCAAAGTGCTGCAGACATCGGTTGCGACTTGCTCGGGGCCCCTAAACCCTAAACCATCCTAAACCCTAAATTCTAATTCCTAATTCCTAATCCCTAAACCCTAACCCCTAAATTTAATCCGTAATCCCTAATCCCTAAACCCTTAACCCCCGAAGCCCTAAACACTAAACCGTCAAGTCCGGACGAACCGGCCGATTAAGGCAATCTGGAGACAGACGCCCCATAGACCAAAGACGGCGGGTTCCGGAGGTTGTTAGTTGCTTCCGGGCTCTTTTGGCGAACAGCTTTCTGTCTTTATGCTACTGCGACGGCGGCGGAGACTGCGCTTGTTTTCCGCGGGCTACAGTTGCTGTGGTGATTTTCAAGGTGGGCTTAAACCTGAGACGCCAACATTCGTAAACTCTCAACCACCCCGCCCTGACCCCAAACACCTTGCACCTAAACCCCGAAACCTTCAGTCTTACATCACGCACAGCCTGGATCGATGAACAAATACCCTAACCCCTAAAAAGTTGGGTTCCTTTTGAGGAACAACCTTACCCAAAACCAAGCCGAAACCAAACCCCAAACCCTAAACCATAAAGCCAACGCCCAAAGTCTTATACCCTAAATCCACGACCCAAAACTTTAAAGTGGAAGCCCAACACCCAAATCCCTAAGCCCTAAATTCTACTCATTCCCTAAACCTTAAACTCTGACACTAAACTCTAATTCCTCACCTGTCCCAAGGGTCTTTCCGGATCTGCAGACGAAAAAGGGTGCTTAAAAGCAAATCTAAACCCTAAACCCTAAGCTCTAAACCCTAAGCCCTAGGTGGCCCCTCCTTCGGAGTGGTCTCCTGACGATGCCTCGGAGGGTGGGACGCCAAGGCCCGGGTGGCTTCAAACAGAGAGTTGCAAATGTAGGGGTCTGAGTTTTTGGAATAGAGCTTTGGGGCATGTTAAAATTTTGCGGTATGGATCCCGAAGGGTTTCTTAAATATGATTTTATGATTCTGCTGTGACATAACCCCCTACCCTATTCTAATTTTTCATTATAAGGCTACTTATTATGGTTGTTTTGGATCGTTGTGGGATCTTGCGTGGTGTAATGTGCGGTTGTACTTTGGGCCTGCGCAGCTTTCAAGTCAAGGTTGAAGGTGTGCAGAAGTGTTGGCTTTCCGGGCTCTTGGTTACTCTGAGCCTTAGACCCTAAACCCCAAAGCCCAAAGCCTAAAGCCTAAAGCCTAAACCCTAAACCCTAAAACCCTAAAGCCTAAAGCCTAAACCCTAAACCCTAAACCCTAGACCCTAAGTCCTAAGCCCTAAGCCCTAAACCCTAAACCCGAAACCCGAAACCCTAAGCCCTAAGCCCTATGCCCTGGAGTCTTAAGTTGGAATATTAGAGCCCGAAGGTTCTCTTGGGTTCTCTTCGGGCTCGAACTGTGTGGGTTTCGGCGCTTCGGGTTTCGGGTTTCAGGAGTAGGGTTTAGGGTTTAGGGTTGCAGTAGTAGGGTTTCGGGTATAGGGTTTAGATGAAAGTTTAGGGTTTCGGGACGAAAGTTTAGGGATTTGGGCTTAAGGATTAGGGTTTAGGGCTTAAGGCTTAGGGTTTCGGGTTTGTCGTTCAGGCGCTGCTGTGCTGGGGTTCAGTTACCTTAATCAGCAATGCAGCTAGTCGCTGTTGTTGCTGCGAGGCTCGGTGGACTTGGCCAAGCTCCTGCAGCAAGTTCGGCTAAACCCGAAACCCTAAACCTTAATCCCTAAACCCTAAACCCCAAACTATAGGCAATGTGCTACTATAGAAGCCTAAATAACTACCAATTTTATTCCTTGGGATTCCTGTTTATAAGTATACCATAATGGAGACAAAAACCCTACACAAATTACTAACGCTCTACATTATATACACTCATCATTATGGATAAGATAGGGCTTTGTCCACCAAGAGTAGTGAGTCGACTTCGGAAACAACTCCACACGAACGCTAGCATCAACTTTGCTTATCCAGCAAGCATCCAAGCTTTCAACCAATACACCTTAAACTGAACCATAAGCCCTGTAAAATGAAGCTCACCCGGAGAGCCCGCTATCTCCCAACGAAAAAAGAGCTCTTAGAGCATAGCAGGACAGGAAGCTCTACATACTTGAGTGTGTAGGCCTGAGATCCACGGGTACTGTAGCGGCCTGAGTAGTTAGAAAGAGCATGCCACTATAGTTCCTGTAAATTACACCAGAATATATTCCCAAACTTACTGTATTCCCAAACGTCAAGGACCCTTTACTGTTGTTGTCATTGCTCTTAGCATTACTATTATCACTCTTGCTGTTGCTCGTGGTTCCGATTCTCAGTGATTGTTCTTGGGCTCCCTGTTGAACTACACCCTAGGTACAAAAGCCTGGTCCCTAAATCTTGAGCCCTATAGCGATACCCCAAACCCCTGAACCGAGTCAGGAGGCAGATCGTCGAGACTCAGCAGAACGAAGACGACGATATGCTCTTAGATTGGACGAGGCACCGTCGGCTGCGGGTTGGAGGGGCTTCGGATTCAATGGTTTCGGGGTTTAGGGTGTTCATCGATGTTTTAGGGCTGGGATGACTTACCCTTCGGAGTATGAAGCTGTCAGTTTAAGGCGTTGGGAGTGTAGGGTCCTCATTTGTTTGTTTCCGGTGCTGGGTTTGCGGTGGGCTGGGAGGTTCTTTTCTTAAGATTTGCGGATCTTTCGGTTCGATGTTTCCCGTTAGCTCGCTTTGGAAATCTGGCCCTAAACCCTAAACCCTAGAGCCCTAAGCTCTGAAACGCAAACCCTAAACGGTGTCAGCTGCCTTGGGACGAGAAGTCCCCAGAAAGCCAGAGCATCCCGTGGCCGCAGAGTGCCCCCGGCCGGAATACTTGTAGGGTTTAGGGTTTAGGGGTTCCAAGGTTTAGGGTTAAGGGTTTAGGGTTTCAAGATTTTGGGGGTTTAGGGTTTAGGGGTTCCAAGGTTTAGGGTCAAGGGTTTAGGGTTTCAAGATTTAGGGGTTTAGGGTTTAGGGTTTCACTGATTCACCTAGCCGTAGTATCACCTTGTAGATGTCCAGAACTTCCGAGTCAAGATCTGTCAGCTATGAAGTCCTGCACCCGGACCGCCGCTCTGTCGAGCATATTCTGTGAGCTTCGGCAAAAAGGGGATACCGACACAGACCCGAATAGTAGGACCTTTGCTGCTAGAAGGATCCCTGACTAGGTAGGGTAGTCCTAACCTCAAGACTATCACATCTCTTGCCCCGAACTCCAACCCCTAAACCCTAAACCCTAAACTCCGAAACCCTTAAACCCCCAAGCCCTTTCCATGCGAGGAAGTTGGACTTCGATGCATACATGGAGGCCCGGATCTCTGCTATTTCCACAGAGAGGCCGACATCCTTAAGGTTTAGGGTTTAGGGTTTAGGTTTAGGGTTTAGGGTTTAGGATCCCTTCAACAGGGCTCTATTCAGCTTGGCCCTAAGGGGGTATCATAGCGCTGTAGTACTGCGGCCGGAGTGATCGGAATCCAGTTTTAGGCCTCATCAAGAGCAGAAATCCCTCAAGCCTTGAAAGCACGCAAACCTAAGCCCTAAAACCCAAAAGCCCGACACCCTGAACGCCGGAAGCGTAAACGCCTTGAATCCCGAGCGCCCTAAAGCTGAAATCCGTGCTACCTCAAACCCTAAGACCCAACATCCTAGACGCTAAAACCACCAAGCCCCAAGCCCGAACTTAAAACTTAAACGCCGACACCCAATGCCTTGAAAGCCCCTGAAGCCCATTAGGAAGCCTGCAAGATTTCTATCAAAGCAGCCATAAGTCCCATGGCAGCTTCTACCCTCCCATAAAACCCCGTGTAACACCACGCCCAAAAGTCCCGCGAAGCCCTAGTCACCCACCTAGAAACAATATCCTAGAAAAGCCTATACATCCCTATAAGCCCGAAGCCCCAAACCCGAGTTGCTTAAATGAAGGGCCTTTGGCGTCTCTAAGAAGTCGAGGCCCCAAGCCTTAAGCCTTAGGGCGTTTCAGGGTTTAGGGGTTTAGGGCGTTTAGGGCGTTTAGGGTTTAGGGGTTTAGGGTTTAGGGTTTAGGGCTTACAGGGCTAAACCCTAAACCCTAAACCCTAAACCCTAAACCCTAAACCCTAAATGAGCCAAGGTCTGGCAATCTCTTGCCACAAGTGACGGCAGCGAGGGGGCGCTGCCCATCACCACAGCCAAGACGGCTCCAGGGGCGGGGCTGTTCTGACGAGCTTGGGGCTTAAAGTTTAGGGCTTTCAAGGGGTGTATAAGGGATTCTCTGAGGGTTGTACATAGGTTTAGGGTTTAGGGAACCCTAAACCCTAAACTCTAAACTCATTGGATATGCTAGTGGGAGGTGCGGGCTTTGGAAGTATGTTGTACTGTGAGGGTTGGTCGGGTTTACGACTTAAGGTTTGGGGTTTAGGGGTTTAGGGTTTAGGGTTTCGGGTTTCGCGTTTAGAGTTTCGGGTTTAGGATTTAGGGTTTCGGGTATTTTCTTTGAGTTTGGGGATGCCCACTGACAATCTCCAACACCGCTGAGCTCGGATGATCCCACGGGGGCCCAAACCGGAAACCTGAACGACGGTCTCGAGACGCTGAACCCCCAATTTGCCATACACCAGGTATGGATTTGGGATAAGTTTTAGTTTCGCCTACGGTTTACGCACGAGGGGGGAGGACTGCGCCTACTTTTTTGCTTCTTCTTGCGGGTGGGTGGGTGGGTGGGTGGGTGAGGGGGGGTGATGACGTTCTGTATTTCACATTATGAGGCTCTTAGGCGGGAAGCAGCAGATTGAACGTATCACCGGCGAACATACCACGCCTGTCACACGAAGCAGGGTTTGACATAGGGTTGAGAATCCACTGAAGCAACCCGTGGTGTGACATGACATGATCTGACATGATGGGGGATGAAATCACAATCGATATAAACATCTGTATCGAAAGGATCCGGTTTCCCCCCCTGAGGCTGTTTGATATGGAGCCCTAATTATACATAATTTTGGGGGACGGTTGAGCTCGACACCCAGTACATCCTTAAACTTCGAATCCCAGAGGAACGCGAAGCCGCATGCCAAACAGCGGACTGAGCCTTACCGAAGTTTAGACCCTGAGCCCAAATCAGAGCTCCGACCTGACCCTAAACCCTAAGCCCAAAGCCCTAAGCCCTCAACCCTGGACTCTAGACCCTGAAACCCAAAAACCCTAAAACCCTAAACCCTCGACCTCAATCCCAAATAAGAGCTCCGAGCTCGTCAGACGTTGCCTCGAAGATCGAGGTGTGTGTGCAGCTGTTGATAGTGCGAGCTGTGCTTCGATCCTTCAGTTTCATTGAGGTTTTGGGTGTAAGATTTCTTAGGGTTTAGGGTTTAAGCTTACTCAGGTTTTAGAGTTCAGGCTTTAGGTTTCAGGGTTTAGGTTACGGGGGTTTCAATCAAGATTGAGGATTTGGGTTTCCAGAGCTTAGGATACAGGGTGTAGGTTTCAGGTTTATGGTTCAGGGTCTTAAGGATTACTGGGGAGTCACTTAGTGCCAAAAACGTGAAAGCTTAGCATTTTGGGCTTACGATATTGAGTTTGGCTTCTAAGGGTGTAGTGTGTAGGATTTGCAGCTTAGGGAATGTTGAATGAATGACCCTAAGTCCTAAACCCTAAACCTTAACCCCACGCCCTAAACCCTACCACCGAAACCCCAAACCCTGAACCCTAAGCCCGGAACCCTGAACCGCCTCCGTTTCGGGTGCTCTGGCGGCCAGAAACCCAGAAAACTTAGATTTAGGGTCAATGGTTTAGGGCCTTTAGGGTTTAGGGTTTAGGGTCTAGTTGCTTTGGTGTGCTTTTTGTTTTAAGTTGGGAGACTCGGCAGAGGCTTGTTGGGTTCACGATTCAGGGTTTAGGGCTACTAGGTTTAAGGTTTGGGGGTGGTGCTGTGTTTGCCAAAGGAACATAGCCAACCCTGCACCTTATTGCGGGTTTGACTTTCTGCATAGTTGGAAAAGTATTTCCTTAAAGTGCCTACATCGTGTACAGTAGAGTATGGCCCACCTTCTTCGAACTATATGGGACCACAATATTCGCATACTTCAAGGGTTTTTACCCCTAAACCCTAAACCCTAAACCGGCATTCCGGCTCCTGAACTCTATACCGAAACCTTCAAGGGCTAGGACTCAGGGTTTTCGTTTTTAGGGTTCAGTTAAACCTCTAGGGGTTACAGGTTTAGGGTTCACGGCGCAGGGTTTTGCGAAACAAGGTCGGGAACCTCAGTTCTGAGCCTCCAAACCGCCGAGACTAGGATTTAAGGTTTGCATAGGTTAGGGTTCAGGGTTGAGGATTGAGCGTGCGTGCGTGTGTGTGTGTGTGTTGAATACTTGAAGCCTGATGGCAAGACATTCATGCGCGAAAGACGTTTCTGAATAGCAAGATGCCTCTGCTCACGTGAGCAATGACAGTCATAGGAACTGGTGTAGCAACAGCCTCACTGTACGATCGGTCAGCAGGCGCATTGAGGGGGTTATCGGAGGTGCTTGAAGGTTCAATTCCCGAAAGCTTTGAGATGTACCGAATCCACAGCTCGTTTTACCAGCATGTCTAAAGGATGTGCTGTCTTTGCGGAAGCCGTGCTTCTGTTGCAGCCAAGGCCCGGAACACGCCGGATGCAGTATTATCTAAAGCTCGCTAGGGCTTAGGGTTCAGGGTTTAAGGATTTTACAGGTTTTATGGGCTTTCGGGTTGAGGGCCCGTTCACATCTTAAACAAACCCTGAAGTTAAGGGTTTATGGTTCTCTTCCGAGGCTCGAAGCACGTGCCCCAGATCATTGCGCCTGCACCGCAGCCCTCAGCCACATGCTCAACGGCTTTAGGTTTCGGGTTTCATTAGAAAACCACTGCTTCCCCTAGATACGAGCCTCATTAGAAGCTTTGTTGCGGGAGGAGATTCATAAACCACCAGAGGCTAAACCCTAAACCCTAAACCCTAAACCCTAAACCCTAAACCCTTGCAAGCTTTCTTCATAAGAAGGGACTCTGCAACAGAGCTTGGCCAGGATGGTGGGACGGCCAGGGGCAGAAATGCGGCCTCTGGCTAACGCCGGCAGATGCAAAAACCCACATGCAAGCTTGACTTTCTGTACTTTAAGAACCCAAAACCTACTTTTTTGTAGGGTCCCTATAAATCCCATATTAGGGTTTATAATAAGAGCCTACGAAAAAGTGGGTTTTGGGTTCTTAAGGTAAACCCTAAACCCTAAATCCTAACTGGTCTCCGATGTGCCGGAGAGACCCAGTAGCCGACGTCCCCTTCAGTACAAGCTATTCCTCAACCCTGTGTTGGCTTTGAGGGAGAATCCTTAATTCCGGGGTCTTGCGGTCTTTCGGAAACATACATGAAAAGGGTGCTCTTCGTAGCAATATCCCAGTGGAAATCGTGTATGAATGTACGGTAATGTGCACAAAGGTCCCACTCAGGTTCTATCTTACTAGGATAAACATCGTTTTGGGTGAGTACGTTCGAGGGTTGCCGGCATCGCTGCAGAGCACAGCCAAAGATTTGAATCTACAGCCCAGAAGCCTGAAACACAGACTCTTAAGCCTCACTGTTCAGGGTGTACGACGTCAGGTTTAGGGGTTTAGCTCGGTTTATGGTGTCTAGGGTTTAGAGTTTAAGGTTCGGGGTTAGGGTTAAGGGATTATCTAGGGTGTAAGGTTTACCTGTAGCCGAAAAGACCTACTTTTTTTAAGGGTTCCTTATTATGGTTTCTATACATAGTTCCTTTAAAAAGGTAGGTCTTTTGGGCCACAGGTAGGGTCGAGCGTCGACTGACGTGCTTCCTTTGCAGGTGCCCGCTGGCCGCCAGGGCCACTCCCTGACCTCCGTCGACAGGCTGATGAGACGGGGAGCTTTTTCGGGGGGCCGTAAGCCCTAAACCCTAAACCCTAAACCCTAAACCTTAAACCCTAAACCCTAAACCCTAAACCCTAAATCCGAAACCCAAAGCCCTGAGCCCTAAACCCTAAACCCTAAACCCTAAACCCTAAACCCTAAATCCGAAACCCCAAAGCCCTAAGCCCCAAACCCTACACCCGAAACCCCAAACCCTACGCCCGAAGCCCTGAACCGT